CTGCACAAAAGACAACTTTCAAAGAGCTTGTGCAGCAAGCTAGTGAGATATAGGATCAGTATTTGACAACACATGTGTCACGGCACCGCCGGACAAGAGATCAAAAAGATTAAAAAGGGACAGTCACGTGGAACGTGCTGCCCTGATCCCCCTGATTTCAAAGAATCCCTCTTAACCCTATGTGGCGCAAGAGCCTAGGACTTACTAGTCGATGTGGCAGGCACAGGAATGGGTAAGAGATATATGATGGAGCTGGCGAGCTCAGTAGGGTGCTATGGTAGTAGACGAGAAGAAACAATCTGAAGTTTCGTCCTCTATATGGCTGGTCTTATATACATGTACAGTGGGCTATCTTACCTAAGCTACCTATCTACGGGTATAAGCAAATGGCCATACATGAAACAATGGAATGTCTGGAAGTAGAACAATAAGTGGGAACATCGATGGTTGCCACAGTAATGCGTGTGCACATCATGCCTATCTTGGATTCCCTTTTGTTCTCTGGTGTGAACATCATGCCTATCTGGGCTTCTGGCTAAACGAATAGGAGGCAGAAGGCCAATGCATAACAATAGTCCTTGTTCTCTTTGTTCCCAAATGGGTGCCTCTATTGTATCCTGGAATAGACAGGTCTGACTGTATCATCCATGGGTCTGGACCATAACATGTGATGTGGACTATCACCTGACCTCTACGCATCACATCTGTGGCTGAGTGGCATGAGATATTGGTGAAGCATGTGATCTGTGGCATGAGAAAAGTCACGTGCAGACTTTGTGGCAAAAATCTGTGATACTACCCTCCTCTCAAGGCTTATTGTCCCGAGGAGCCAAAACCTTTGTTTCCCTTCTTGTTGCTCGCAACGGTTGGTAACTTCGGGAGGGAAGCCCTTCGGCGTAATACTCGAAGATTATTTGGGCTATCCTGTCTCCCAGTTTGACCGAAAATACGAAATCCATTGTATTGATCAGTACGACCTTGAGTTCTCCTATATAGTCTGGATCAACGACTCCTGCACCCATGTCAATTCCTCATGCAGCCAGTCTGCTGCGTGGAGCTATTCATGTATAGGTATGTTTGGGAGGGTCGATTGCGACTCCTGTTCCTACCACAGCTCGTGAATGCGGGGGGATTTCATGCATTTCTGCTGCATAAATATCCCATCCTGCTGCTTCATTTGAGGATTTTTTCAGTGATTTGGTGAGATCTGTCATCTTATGATATAGAAAGAACTCATCCGGGTGGTCGGACATGTTGATTCTGTGAGTGGATATTGGTGCAACTTCGTATGAGGATAGTTCGAAGCATTTTCCACCAAAAGTGACAACCCTGATTGGTGCTTTGACTGCATCTGGGTGTTTCTGGTGGAATTCTTGAAGAAGCTCGTCGGCGTTGGTAAGATTGTTCGGGGTTTCCATGTATTGTCGGAATTGTCATAGCCTTTCCATTTGACGAGGTATTGGACCCTTCCCCTTACGACCATCGAGTCTAGTATTTCTTCGACTTCGAATTCTGGTTCTCCTTCAATTTCTATGGCTGGGGGCTTTGGGGATTCGTGGTTTGCGACCGTGTCTTGGTGATACATGATCAACTTGCTAGCATGGAAGACTGGATGGACCTTCATTTGCTTGGGCAGTTCCAGTTTGAATGTTACTGGTCCTAGCTTCTGAAGTACTTTGTAAGGTCCGAAGTTTTGTGTTCCTAGCTTCACGGATTTGACCTTTACTCTGAGATCTTTCCCTTTGAGTAGTACTAGATCTCTGACTTTGAATGGGACTTCTCCCTTTTTCTCATCGAAGTACCATTTCATCCGTGAAGCGAAAACTTCCAATGCTGCCTTTGCCTGTTCTTGTGCCTCAGATCGGTGGGCAAATAGATGTTCCAATGAGGGATGATGTATTGATTCGTGTACATCTGGTGCCATTTTTGGATGTCAGCCATATTCGACAAAGAATGGGGAAAGTGCGGTGGACTCATGGGTCTGGTTGTTGTATGAAAATTCTGCCGTTGGCAGGTAGTAGACCCAATCATTCTGTCTGTGGTTACAGTACATGCGTAGGTACTGTTTCAACACCTGGTTAACCCTTTCTGTCTGACCGTCTGTCTGGGGATGGTATGCTGTAGACATGATTGACTTTATACTGAGCTTTTGGCAGAACTCCTGAAATAGTTTGCTCGCAAATTGAGTACCTCTGTCTGAGATAATCTGGTGTGGCAATCCGTGGAGTTTGAAAACTTCATTATAGAATATGTTAGTGACCTGCAATGATGTGACTGTGTCGTCTGTCACATAGAAGTGTGCTCATTTCGTGAGTCTGTCTATGACGACAAGTATTGCCGTCTTCTTTTCTCTCCTAAAGTCCATGGCTGGAGGAAGTTGTGTGATGAGATCGACAGTGATGATTTCCCATGGTCCTTCTGGTACCTCATTTGGTTGTAGTAGTCCGTATGGTTTTTCCCTTGAGTACTTGTTGCATTGACAACTGTCGCAACCTTGTACATATTGCTTAACCATTACAGACATTCCTGGCCACCAATAGTTCTGAGTAATGAGCTTCAATGTTTTGAACCTGCCTGGATGTCTGGCTGGTAACGTATCGTGATGGAGCTTTATTAGGTCTAGGCATAGCTGTTGATCCTTGGGGACATAAACCTTTTCACAATGGAGTAGCAGTTCATGCTCAAAGTTCCATTCTGCACGATTTTTCCCAAATTCACGTTGTCCTGTAGTCAAAAGTGCACCATAATCCTTGGTCATCATATCATCTGTGAGTGCCTTTTTGATCCTTTCCAGTAGTTGAGCATCATCAACTTCAGATGCATGAGTGGGTCGAATCACATTGATAGCAAAAAATTCGGGTTTTAACAGCATTTGGTTCAAATTGTCGCTGTCTACCCCTCTCTCATGGTCTGGCCTCCTGGACAGAGGATCGGCATGAAGCATTGTCTTTCCAGGTCAGTGACTAAGTACAAAATTGAATCTGGTGAGGAATAATGCCCAGCACGCTTGGTGCTGGGATAACTTCTGTGCCTGGCGGAAGTATGTAAGGTTGAGATGGTCTGACCAAATCTCAATGGGTTCTGGGTGTCCTTCTAAGTAGTGCCAGTATTCTTCTAGTGCCTGAATAATTGCAAGCATCTCCTTGTCGTATATCTCGTAGTTTCGCGCATGCTCATTGAGTGATTTAGAGTAATATGCGACTGGATGCCATAGCTTGTCTTCTCCCATTTGTTCAAGTACTGCACCAGTGGCGTAGTCTGAGAAGTCTGTCTCTAGACGATATGGTGCAGTGTCATTGGGGAGTTGTAATATCGGGGCTGAGGTAAATGCCATTTTGAGTGCACTGAAGGCTTGGTCTTGCTCTTCCTTTTACAGGTGAGAAGCGTTAAAGGTCGTGCAAGCTTTGCAAAGTCCTTTATAAATTGCCTGTAGAAATTTGCGAATCCTAAAAAGGCCTGTACTTGTTTGACCTTTGTAGGTGTGGGCCAGCCAAGTACACCTTTGACTTTAGCAGGGTCCATTTGTACCGAGTTCTTGCTGATGATCATTCCAAGATACTCAATTGAGGATTGTTCAAAGAAGCATTTCTCCAGTTTGGCGTATAAGTCATTGTCCCAGAGGCGCTGTAGAACTGCTTTTACTAGTCATCGGTGTTCATTAATATCATCTGTAAATATGAGGATATCATCCAAGTATACTACCACCTTTCCGGTACGAATCAGGTCTTCGAGGACCATATTCATCATTGTCTGGAAGGTACTGGGAGCATTGCAGAAACTGAAGTACATTACTGTGGGTTCGAAGAGGCCACAATGTGTAATGAAGGTGGCTTTTTCTTCATCTCCCTCCCTAATCCTTATGTTATTGAACCCCCATCTCAGATCGAGCTTAGTAAATATACTAGCATGTGAGAGCCTGTCAATGAGGTCCAAAATGTGGGGGATTGAGAACTTGTTCTTCTTTGTGACTGCGTTGAGGTTTTGTAGTCTTGTACGAGCCTCAGTGACCCGTCCTTCTTTTTGACGAAAAAGACCAGTGCTGCGGTTGGACTCCTTGATCTCTTGATGTAACCTTTGACCAACTCTTGATCTATCCATGTGTCGAGCAAATTTCTTTCCTGTAAGCTCATAGGATATAACTTTGCCGGGCATGGTAACGATGCCTCTGGAACAAGTTCAATTGGATGATCATAGGGCTTTCTTGTGGGCATTCGTTCTGACTGCTTCTTGGAGAACACATCACCATACTCGTGGAAGTGTTTGAGGACATAGGCTGACCAGTAGTCCTTGTCCTGTTATCCTTTTTGCGGTGCTCTATCCTGATTCCTCTTGGTGTTAAGGCCCATAATGAGTGATGCTATCACTTGTGCATCAGGGTCTTCTGATAATGACACCCATCTAATGAAGCTGTCCATGTCGTTCCAGTTGTCACCTAACTCCTGAGAACTGACGAACTTCATCAGGTCTTCAATGTGGGGGATGTTTGTGTCTTCCAGGTCCTCCTCCTGGACTGCTACCTGTGAGGACGCACATTTGTGTGGGCATCGGGTGAAATCGACTGTGAGTTTTCCCCAATCTACCTCTGGGTTGTGCTCCTTGAGGAAACTCATGCCTAGTATAATGTCCTTGTGACCTATATCAGTAACCAGAAGACTTTGTCTACTTGTGTGGTTTCCGATAGTTATACTGAGAAGAACCCTTTTCTTAATGGTTCCACCCTTGTTGTGAGATGCATCTGCATTGTAAACCCTGATCTCCTTCAAGTGTGATCGTAGCAAGATTCAACTGATCAACCAGCCGTGGGTTGATGTAACAAGAATATGCTCCTGAATCGAGGAGCGCCTCAGTCTGGACTTCCCTTACTCCCTGTTTGAGGTGAACAGGTAAATCGATCACATGTTTTGACGAACCAGTAGATGTGATGTATAAAAAACTTGATACTGGTACATGCGAGAGCGAGTAGGTACTATTACAGTGTCTATGGGAACTCTGGCCAGACCTCAGAGAACCTGCTGAAGAAAATCCTCATCATCTTCCACCTCCGTGATCCTAGCTGCTTCGACAGCTGGTTCCAGTTCTGCCTCCTTTTCCTTTCCCTTCACGTCGTAGCTGGTGATGAAAGCACGGACTGCTTCCTTCCTCACCTTGCTGTCGTCAGAGTGGGTGGATGATGCCATCGTCGATATTGCCCTGGTTGCTTGACCCCACTTTGGCATTTCAAATTTGCCCTTGTACTTGGGGTCTGGGCAGCGCTGTTTAAAAATGAAGGGGTGCTTCCCACATCATACGCACAGCTTCTTCTCCAGCCATCCTTCTTGCTCCTTAGTGAGTGTAGATACTCGATCCACAACCATTGCGTTAGGGTCTTTCAGGGCCCGTGGTACCGATGATGATGTTGTTACCATTCCACGCTGTCCTGCCTTGTTGGCTCTAAACTTGAACTCCAATTGAAGGCATAGATCGAGGTATTCCAGCCATGTGATGGGGTCAGAAATTCCTGGACTGTTTCGTGTGACCATCGCCTGTCGTACTTCCTTGCTTCGATGTTCAGCAATGTAACCGATGAGTGCAGTGTGCCCTAAGTTGGTCTTAGTGGCCCATTGACAGAACTGTTCTGCAAAGGAGACCATTGTGGGGTAGGTTTTTGCACAGATCTCCTTCAGGTGCTGTTGCACATTCTTGTTCGGGTCGAGGGTCCTGTAGTTGACTTTGAGAATGTTGACGAAGTCTTTCCATGTGCTGAGTGCCTGCCGTGCCACTGCCTTGGTTGCGTATTCGGACATGTATGTAAATGTGCCTCCTTCCAAATGCAGCAGGGCCGTGGTAATCTTGTGCTCGTCGTCGTTAATCTCATTCCACCGCATCCATATATCGAGTTGTTGGAGCCAATCCTCCAGACTTCCTTTGCCCAAGTTGTGTGGAGGTTCAGCAATTTTGATGTGAGGCTTGTGTGATTGGACTATGCCAGATGTTTGACCTTGCATCACAGTGATGCTGCTTGCTTTGAGCAAAGCTAGCTTATGTCGCAGCTTGGTGTTAGCTGACTTGATCTCCATCATCTCCTTGCTGATGTCCAGCATTGTCGCTTGTGTTCCTGAGAGCTCATCATTGAGTACCATCATGTGCGCATCCTGCACTTCGACCCTGTCCTTGAGCTTGCCATTTTCAGTTTGGAGGAGTGCCTCCTTTAGCCAATGTTCAGTCTTGTTGTTCTGGATCAGGGACTCGAAGGCTTTCTTGTGCTCATACATCTTACTGCTGAGCACGTTGTAGACCTTGGTGACTTCGGTGTGTACCATAAGCTTCATTGCAACAATTACCCATTCACGGATGTGGTCAGGGACTTCTCTGAGAGCGGACTGTCTGAGCACATCTTCTAGATGCTCGAATTGGTGTCCGTCAAACTTCCAAGTGAGAGGAACATAGGCGAGTAAGAGTGATGGTGTCGGGGATGCAGGTCCTCTGACTTGTGATGCAGAATCCTGGGGTCCTAGCCCCAGTTCAGGTGAGTTGCGCTGTGAGGCGCATGGGGTACTTCTGTCATGTGACGTCTTGACATTTGTGTGAAGAATATCATCCATTCGCTGCCTAAACATGGATGCGTATGCACAATCCGCTCCCTCCATTATGATGTAAAGACATGTAAACTAATACAAAAAGTGCAGATATCTCTTCTTTGAGATAAAGACCAGGGCCTTGGCGATTTCCTGCAGCCTTTCCTCCTTTTCTATCTGCTTGAAACTAATCTCTCCTATTTCCAAACAGACCATATTGATGACCTGCTTCTCAATGAATGTGTAGGTGCATGTGCCGGTATGAAGGTCAGTGCAGACTTTATCGAGTTCTGTGGCTAGGCTGTAAATAGGTCCTTGTGCTCATCCTTGAGACGATACGAGAACACTCCTAGTATAGGCTGGAGCCTGAAGCGGGTAGCATCTACCTGCTTTGTAAGGGTCTTGATGTGGATCGTCGACCTGACTCTGGAAGGGAGTGGGCAGATGGGACATGCAATGATGTTTGTCTTTATGAAGTTGGGTAGGGGGCGAGTTGGAATGGGAGCAATGACGGGGGAGATACTGCGTTAGAAGTGATGAGCTCTGGAGGTGGCGCTGGCTTGCAACCACCCGTGGTAAGACATCCCTTCCTGGGCTTGTAGCATTCGAGTGGTGGAGTGCGATCACATGGCTTGCAGGTGATTTCACACTTTATGATGTGTGTGGTATCTACAACCCTAGCTGCTGCTTGCTGCCTGTCTGTAGATGATGTGCCTAGTGACGCGAGAGTGAGGAGCCTTCCACGCTTCTTGTTGGTTTCCTGATGCTTGTAGTGAGCATCAAGGTCAATCCTGGGGGTGGCCTTGCACTTTGGTGCCTTGAGCAGCTCAGAGTCTTGCTGAGGCTCACGCCAGGTAGAGATCAGATTGGAATGTTTGTCAAAAAAGCTGCGCACTACGGCTAAAACTGCTTGTGCTGAAAATACATGGCCACTTGTGTTAGACACTAAGCAGGGGTGCAGAAAATTGTCAGATTGTTTCTAATGTCACAGCACCGCCACATAAGAGATCAAAAAGACTAAAAAGGGACAGTCACGTGAAATGTGCCACCCTGATCCCCCTGATCCCAAAGAATCCCCCTTAACCCTATGTGGTGCAAGAGCCTAGAATTTACCAATTGATGTGGCAGGTGCAGGAATGGGTAAGAGATATATGATGGAGCTGGCGAGCTCAGTAGGGTGCTATGGTAGTAGATGAGGAGAAACAATCTGAAGTTTCGTCCTCTACATGGCTGGTCTTACATATATACATGTACAGCGGGCTATCTTACCTAAGCTACCTATCTACGGGTATAAGCAAATGGCCATACATGAAACAATGGAATGTCCAAAAGTAGAACAATAAGTGAAAAGATTGATGGTTGCCACAGTAATGCATGTGCACATCATGCCTATCTTAGATTCTCTTTTGTTCTCCGGTGTGAACATTGTGCCTATCTGGGCTTCTGGCTAAACGAATAGGAGGCGGAAGGCCGAAGCGTAACAATAGTCCTTGTTCCCTTTGTTCCCAAATGGGTGCCTCTATTGTATCCTGGAATAGACAGATCCGACCGTATCATCCATGGATCTGGACCATAACATGTGATGTGGACTATCACCTGATCTCTACGTGTCATGTCTGTGGCTGAGTGACATGAGATATTGATGAAGCACGTGATCTGTGACATGAGAAAAGTCACATGTGGACTTTGTGGCAAAAATCTGTGACAACATGCATATGAAACCATGCTACATCTCAACAGCACAATAGGTCCATTCTTTGCTGCGAGAGACTCATGGACATCATCCAGCCTGGGGCCTATCAGCAATAACAATAGTACAAGTAGACATTCACTGAAAGATCTAGCAGAATCAGTGATAAAGCCATTCTGCAGTGATCAGATCTTAGCTAACACTATACTTTAGATGAGGATAGTATGCTTCATTATGAATTTCGATGTCTGATTGTGGAAGGTGATATTGGATGAGCAATGAAAGTTATGTCAGTGAGTGGATGGGTCAATTCATATACACTGCATCTGAGCTATCATGGTGTTCATGAAACAGGTCTGGACCTTTACCTCCATGAGTTCAGGTCATAGCAAGTATGCCAATGGATTGCTCTAGTTGATCTGTGAATTTAAATTTGAATATTTGAATGACCTTAAAAGGATAATACTCAACAACTGGCTATGCAACCTGTCAGGAATATCTGGATTTTGGTTTTTTATGGACCTTCTGCAAGAAAAGAACATCAAGCAGCTTAAGAAAATGTCTCAGAAATGAGATGCCTCATTAAGCTCATCCTTTTTCAAGGATATTGTGGCTCTGAATATTTATGCATTTCTTCTGGCAGCCAATTCTATGAAGACAATGGTGTGATTGACATGAAAAGGGGGTGTCCACCACAGTATCATGAAGCTTGCAGTCATGCAAGAGCTCACATGAAAATTCATGGAGCATGAAGTGCACTGATTTTGTGCAGGTCACACATCATCTCATGCAGCTTTTTGAGGTGGGATATATACACTTAGGTGATGGTTAACATATCCAGAAATTCATTGCACATATCTTGTGTGATGCTGGGGCCACTGCATGAAACAATCAATAATGAGATGAAAGATGATAAAGATATTAAAGAAAAAGTCAAATTCTTTTGACATCTTTACTGTCAATTTGTAATAAAAGGATTCAAAATATTATTCACATCTTTTCTTGTTGAAGATGATGAAAAGATGAGAAAGAAATTGGGTGACATATTAGCAATCATTTTTTCAATCATTCTACAATCTTTTAGACAAAGCGATAATAAAAAGTTTTAATTGATTTAAACTCTTTTCTCATTAAAGACAATAAACATATTGTGACCATGTCACATCATTATCATTCTACACTAACTCAATATCAGAATATAAAGCTTAATACTCAGACCCATAGTCCACACATCAATACTTCATCGCGCGGTAACCACATGTATTTTACCCTACCAACCATGCATAGCGTGGTATAGAAATAAATGTACAAAAAAATAAAAAAATACTCAGATATAAATGTCAGCACTATCTTTAAAAGCTTTATTATGAACCTCCAGGCCTTAGTCTAGCATAGTACTAGCATAGTACTATCCTCTAGATAGATCTTATTACTGATCTTCAGACCTCAGTACTGGCATAGCACTAGCATAGTACTAACATTTAGACCTTAGTACTTGCATTTAGACCTTAGTACTGGTGTAGTACTAGTGTAGTACTAATATTTGAATCTTAGTATTAGCATATTGCTAGTATTAGAATTTTAGTATTACCCCTCTGACCATAGTACTAGTATAGTGCTAAAATATAAATTTGAGTATTAACCTCCATACCTTAGTACTAGCTTAGTATATGATGATAAGGGTGTGACATAGTCACAATATTTTCATCATCTTTGATCAAAAAGAGTGAAATAAGGTTGTAAAATGTTTCATCATAATTTATAGAAAGATTGTAAATTGATTGAAGAACTGATCATCTTCCAATCTTCTTTCAATCTTTCATCATCTTTCACAATACAAAATGTTAAAACTTTTCTAAATTCTTATCACAAATTGATGGTAAAGATGTTTGATAGATTTGACTTTTTCTTCAATATCTTTACCATCTTTCACCTCAAAATATTGATTGCTTCTTCCAGTGAGCCATCTATGAAGACAGTGTTGAGGAGACCTCACAAGCTTACAGGGACAACATGGTTCTTGATGAGAATCTGATGCCAAACATGATTATCGATGACCAACTTCTTATGGGAAACAACCTCAAATTTGACATAGAAAATGAGACAAGCAGTGAGACAGTGGATGATTGAGTGTTATCTGCTGCTAGCCATCAAAACTCTGATGACAGCAGTTGCAGCACATCTGAAATGGACAGTAAATGAAATGTTTCTAGATAAGCAATCATTAAGTAGCCCTCTCTGCTACTTGCTTAACATTTTCTTTTCCATCTTTAGCTTGTGTTCAGGTGACAACAGGAGCCTTTATATGTTGATTCAGTTGATACTTTTTTTTCATAAAATCAACAACTGCTGGTACTGTGTTTATTGTGGTTTATTTATGCTCATAGAGACAGATTGAAGTCTTAGTCACTTATGATTAGCATTGCCATAGAATGACCATGCCAGAATCAGTTTAAACAGTTCATCTTCATTCTTGTTACCGTGTATCACCTTCACTATCTTTGCATTTGAGTTCTCACATTTATTACTGGGCAAGAGCAGCCTGACTGTCTTTATGCTATTGGCACCAATGACAACTATTGCAATGTGAAGCTTGTTCTCTAGATGTTTTTGATCATTCACTCATCACCTGGCATTTGCTTCCTCTCATTGCTTGTTGACCTCTGCATAGATCTGTTGTTAAATCTCCTTGACTACTTTCCATAATGCATCTCCTGCTGCATTCCACTTGGGTAAGAGGGCCATTACTGGCAGAAACAATTTCTGAGATTCTGAAATACTGAGTTTTATTTCTAAATTATAATGTTTATGATTTTTCAAAGATATATTTGTTATTTGACTTCCATAGATCATTATTAGATTTTTACATCTGATATAACTAAGTATTACATGATGTATTAATATAGTCTATGTTTGACATACCCAGTATAGAAATATAGTGAAAGTCAACAGAGTCTAGTATAGCTTGTCACAAATCTAAATAGTTTACTGAGGAGTTTATGATCAGTCACTTTCACAGTTCTCTTATATTGAACTATTGCTAGCAGTAATTTTATGATACCCTCTAATATATAGTGTAAAATTAAGCTGGACTTGCTGTTTATTTGTGATAATAAACAGTAAGAAGTCTGAGAAATTGCTAAAGCTGCATCTTCTAATCAGTCATCTGTGACATGTTTGACATGATAACTCAGAATTTTGCAGTAATTTTGAGAGCTTTTTATTGTCTTTGAGATGCCTACCTTGATAAATATTTTTTTAATTTGATAAGCTGCTGCTTGTAAATAATGAAAGCATTCACTGTATTTACATCTCCATTGCAGTGCTGATAATGATAACAGATTATAGTGTT